ATGCTGCGGGGACAGCGCGGCCGGCGGGGCTGCGGGCGCTGCTCCGCACCCCTGCGCCCGGGTGCGCCGTCCCGCCGGCTGCGGGGATACGCCGGCCCCGACGGGGCGCGGGTCTGGCAGCGCCGCGCCTCTCCGCGCCCAGACAGGTGCGCGCACCGCCCCGGCCGGCGGCGAGCCGCAGGTGGCAAGCGCGGCCGCGGGCAGGGACATCGGTGACACGCTCCGCGGACACACACCGCACACGCCCGGGCGCTGCTGAAGTTGCCGACCGCGCGCCCGGGTGCCGGGTGTTTAATCACGCGCGGCTGCGACGTTAGGAAAATAAAACCCCGTCACGGCTGTAGGGTCTGGAGCGGACACAGGGCTGGAGAGGTGACGAGGGGAAGAAACGAGCACTGCGGGGAAAGCAGGGAGAAGAGAGAGGGGAAGATCTTGCCCAGCCTCGGCAGGCAGCGGCCAAGGTCTTCTCGGGCTGCGGCACCATCCCACTATCCCTGCGACGGAGCCGGAGGAAAATGCACCATCACGCTGGCACGGAGGGCTGCTCTGGCCCCCACACCTAAGGCACGCTGGCGGAGCGCAGCTCCGGAGCAGCATCCCGCCGCCTCCAGCCAGCGATGTGCCACGGGGCTGCGGGAGCCGCCTCCCCCGCTGCGCCCTGCGCCGCGGATCCTCCTCCCTCCTCCCATCTGGGCTTCAGTTTTAGCAGCCGGTTGCCAGGACGGTCGGGGGGACTCCGCTCGCTCCCCCGGCGGCGGGAGCACGGCAGCGGTGTTCCCCTCACCCTCCCTCCGCGGCCGGCGTTGGGAGCCGCCGGCCCCTCCGCAGAGCTCGGGGCGGCCCAACTTCGCCCCCTCCTCGGCGCATCTCCGCGCCCGCCGCCGCTCGGCGCCCGGGAGAAGCGAAGCCGGCAAACACCCGCCAGGTAAATCGGACCCCTGGCCCTCGACCGGCGCTTAACGCGCGGCCGTGCTGCCGGCGGGATGGGGCGGCCGGCGGCTTGGGCGACAAGGACGCCTTAGACTGAGAATAATAAAAGAAGATCGAATCGATTTCTGCAGATGGCAGCAGGGAAGCGCTTTCTAAACACGGGCGAAGGACCCCGCGGCCGCCCGTGCCGGTGGGAGCAGCCGGGCCGGGCAGGACTTGGGTTCTGTGCGGATGCCGGGCGCTCGGCAGGCGGGCTGGGCTGGGCTGGCCCTGCCCCTCCTCCGCCCTCTCCTCCGCCCATGGGGGCAGCTCGGCATCCCCCGGGGCTCCGGCACCGCACGGGCGAGCTACGAGAGTGGGCGCTGCAGGCGGGAGTAGGGTACGGCTCCCTCTGGGCCTGAGACCCCCGAGCGTGTGCGAGGAGACCCTGCTGGAAGTTTGCTGTTCCCGACAGCATGACCTCCTTTTCCACCCCTAAGCTGAGAGTCCACACAAATTCTTATGCCAGTACTACTCCTTGTTATCCCTTCATACAGGGGTATGCGGGAGCCAGGGAATACTTCACGCTCAGGTAATCCCCGTCTAGCTTCTCCCCAAGCTCTAAACCAGGTTTTCTTCTGTCTCCTTTCTCCCCTGTACATCTGTGTCTGCTCCCTGCTCTGCCCACCTGCTGCTATCTGTATTGACCTCTTCTGCCCACCTGTACTCCAGAAGCCTTTGCTACAATTAAAGGGTATCAATTTCCACATTCCAATATGTTCTCAAGCTCTGATCAAGACCCACATGAATCCGTGCCTACAGTTTCCTATTTACTAATCAAGACCTAAGCAGAAAGAAAATACTAATTTTTTACTGCCTGCTAGTGGTTGTACTGAATCTTATCCTTCATCTTCTGTGGGCTTACAGAGCATCTGCCAGCTGAGCACCTGGTGCCAGATCAATTTTTTTCATTCCTTTTATCTCTTTTCAGGGCTTTTTCATGCCATTCAGTTATTTCATCTACTACCACATTCCTTTTATTCCCCCATCCCCTCTTCCTTTTTAACTTTCTTCTTTTTTTTCCCCCCTCATATTCATTATTGCTTGTAAAAACTCAGCTCTCTGCTTGACATATCACTGAGGTGATTAAAAATCAAAAATGTCCTGGCTGGCCACAGGTACCACAGTCACACAGCCTCACGAGGGGAATGTCCTATCTTTTTGCTCCCCCCTTGTTTCTTCTCCCCACTTCCCTGGTTCTTCTGTGTGGTCTCACTTCTCTCCATTCCCCTGGCTGCAATTAGCAAAGCCTGCAGTTTCTATTCCCTTCTTCTTCACTCTCCTCCCTTCTTCCAGCCCAACCTACCTTCATTTCCACATAGCTACAGGTCATAAAGGCACTGCTGGCCTCATCTCTGGACCAGTTTAACCAGACCACATGGGGAATGCAACTGCTAGGTCAGTCTTTCCCAGACGAGCAGCCAGAGCCTCTCTGACGTGTCCCTCCTGTCGCAATAACTCACGCTCCAGATGATCCCACAAGTGTAGCCGGCGCTCACAGAGTACCATTAAATCCAGCAGCAGAGCCTGGCTCTGGCCCGTGCTGTCCCCAGAGTGCCATATAACACCGCAGCCACCGAGCTGCAGGCTACGGTGCTGACTAACAATTACCCTGCTTCATTTTCAGCCACTCACGCAGGCACTGCCTGGGGAAATGAAGAAGCCCCTCTGTTTGTATGCTGGCTCTCAGACTTTGGGATGTGGAAGTTCCACCAGAGGTCCTGGAATTGCTACAACATGATGAACCTGTGAACCTGAAAGCATCTGCAGGGCAATGTCCTTATGGCACTGTAGGACAGTTCTTGCTCTGACTAGCACCAGTATCTTCCTTAAAAAGATTTTCCTTGTTGAGATGAAAACTCAACTTACAAAAACATTTTGTTAAGATAACAAAAGTACATCTGTCTGCTCCAAAAGGGACTGCCAGACCCACAAGCCCCTTTTCTCAATTACGCTCTCTAGCAATTTCTTTTGAATTGTAGAGACTGAGATACAATCATTTTTTCATGTAGCTCCTAGCTCCAAAGCATTCTACCCTCTTAATGCGACGCTGCACACGCAATCTCTCAGCAGCACATTATTCCCAGCTATACTTCAACACTTAGGCTAGTTGACATCTACAGTCTTGTACTCCCTGATGTGCCCATCCCATCTCACCACTGCACAAAAACTACTACTTGTAAACCACGCAGGCAGCACTAGGCTGGTGTGAGGTACAAATTGCAACCAGCATCTCCTCCCTGAAACACTGAGGTCATGCTACTGAGCCAGCAGTGGGGTTCCTTGTGGCTGCATGTTTGACTCTAATGCCAGATGAGCAGCAAAAATAATCACAGCCTTCTTGGAAGAGCCCTTCTTGTACATGATGAGGGTAGGGCTACATCTTGAGTATTAAACCCACCTCTTGTAGAGCTTTTCTGAGGCCTGCAGAGTTTTGAGATACTCATGCTACAAGAAACAGGCTGATCGGTGTATTCAAGGGTAGCTGATACTGATGCAGATTTATCCAATGCACATGGCCATGCCATGTGTATCTGTGCTTGGAGATCAGCTCCCAGCTGACAAGCAGCTGTTTGAGGTGTTGCAGGCCCTCAAATGTCTCAAAGCAAGGGCAGGGTGGGTCTTGGCTGTGCACTGCACTCCTTGAGCTGAGACTGGGCAGCAGCAGCTGGCACAGGGAGCCTGGGGCCAGACTGCACCTGATCCCAGTCCCACGTAGCCACGTCTGTGAGTAATGCCTTCTGTTGCTGTGCTTGCCCAGCAGACGCTGTACTGGAGAGGAGTTACGCAACCTCAGTTATTCACACTTGTATTATATCTTGGCTGTGCTGCTCTTGGGAGGCTGCAGAATCCAAAAAGTTTCCCAGAACTTCGGAGAAGCCAAATGGTACAGATGAGTGTATCAAAACCTCCTCAGCTACACAAGCTCTGGGTACACAACACCCGTTCTCTTTCTTCCCTGTCTATCTATGAAGCTATGACTATGAAGTTAACGTAATAGATCCTCATCTTTAAAACACTATGTCCTGTGTCTGATGTCTCTAAAGGCCCTAGGAAGGTAACCTTGGTCAAGAATATCAGTGAAAAAAGGCTTCTTACAGTTCAGCTAATATTCATGAAAAATATTTTCTTTGAGCCAGCACTAGAACTATGGGCTAACATTCTACAGCTGCTAAGAAAAAATCCCACCAAATGTACAAGAGCCATTTGAGTTAACCTCTTTCCTGTTGCCACCACATCATAGCCTGTTTATGAAACACACATTTATAGAACTGAAAAAACCCCAACCAAACCCCACTCTGCACAATTCTTGAGAGAATGAGAGCTACATGTGTGTGAGCTACTGCAAGCTACCACCACTAGTCATAGTTCCTAAGGAAAAAAAAGTGAAGAAAATCTATTTAACTACAAGAGACTTGCCCAAACATGGTCACAGCCAAACCTAAAGAAAATGGGGTGTGGGGCTCACCAATTTTCAGTGATAACTCTTCTTGACAAAACATGGGTCTGATTCAAAAGATCCCACCAGAATAGGCTTGGAAGACCAGCTGACCCAAGGCAGAAGGAAAGGATGTTACAAATTCCAGCAGAAGACCAGTGAAGGACACACAACTCATATGCAGTTGCTGTGTATGAAGCTGGAATTTCTCTCCTCACCATGGAAGAACAATGCTTAATTCAGGTCTGTGTATTTTCAGGCCTGGTTTGACCAAAAGTTGGCATACTTAGCCTAGACACGTGTTTCTGTCAGAAGTTTGTGAATCTCTAGCAGATTTTATGATCATCTATTTTTCATGTGTGCAGGAAAAGCACACATGGCTTCACTCGAATGCACAGGCAGTAGGGAGCTCTTTGCCTACATGCAGTTTTACAGATTTTATACAGCTTTCAGCTAAATCACATATCTCCATGCAAAGTATGCCACTCTTGGATGATATCACATGGATTTTTAATGCTCTGAGGGATCCTTTGGGTCTATAAACAACAAGTAGATTACATTCAT